AATACGTGGCTCTTTGCACTCTATCCACAGCTATTTTGGCTCTTCATCGCTAACTGGTTGGCCACCCCTGGTGTACAGCATTAATCAGTTTCACTTGCGTTGTAAGTTACTTCTGCAACTGGCAAAACATTTGAGGACCATTCCAAGGTATTTTATTAGCACCTTGAATCATTCAGATTCTGACACGCTAGAGGAATCCCTGTGTGACTGTTACAGCAGCTATGCCACTACTTGGTTTGCAGAGCAGACGAAAGGGAATGCTTCCTATTTAAAATTCTGCTCTGCTAATATTCACTACTGTCTAAAGACTCCTCTCCGGCAGAGCCAGGAGTCAAGGCAGCAGCAAAGGCTGAAAGTGAGGTCCAACCAGGATACCCCACAGATGTGGACAGGCAGAGAATCTCCTTTCACATGGCTCCCACTTAAGGAATATGGTCTCTGGAGCTTCCCCAAACTTCTCCTTGTGTGAGTTTGGAGGAAACTCCTGCCTTGAGTACACCAAGATTTTGATCTCTTGGCGGGAGACAGGATTTGAAGGGAGAACCTCTGCAGAATCCTGTCCCCTGTTGCTCTCCCAACCATGAGACCTGGGAGAACAAGAAATTCCTGCAATGGAACCTGCCAGGAGAGCACAAGCCAGGAGCGGCAGGAATGAGTAGCTATTTCGGTACGGAAGCCTTATCCACTCCTTTCTGAGACTGCCAAGTGAGGTGTGAATTAACACAAATTCAGGTGTTAAATTCTGTGATGTGAATGCTCATTCACTAAAACTTATCTCTAGCCTCTGTTCGCCAGAAGCTGAGAATGAACGACAGGGGAGGGATCACTTGATAATTTTACCAGTTCTGTTCATTCCCTCTGGGGCACCTGCCACTGACCACTGTAGAATACTGGGCTACACTGACCTTTGGCCTAACTCAGTATGGCAGTTCTTGGCTTCCAGCTTGGACTGAAACCATGAATTACTATCATGTCAGGTGCTGAACTGTTGTTAGTAATTTAGTATTGCTGCTGACCTTGGTCAAATCTGAACAGATGATAAATGAATAAAACCTCTAACAGCAGCAGTCAGAACATGCTGCAATGTCATAACTAAAATTAGCGAAGGTTTGTACTAAGGGAATTGCAAGATTTAAATCTAGCTATACATAAAGCAGAGCCTCTCACATAGAAACTGAAACAATTCAGGTAGTGAAGACTGCTTTCTAAGGGTACATCTAGACTGGTGGATTTTTCCAGGATACCAGAGTGCATCCAGGGAATGTGTTTGCTCTTCCGCCTTTGTTCTTCTGAAAAAAAAAAACCCCACAAACATGCTCTTTCGGGGAGACCTGTATACTTTGTTCTATGAGGAATAAGCATTCCTCCGAAAGAGGAGGCTTTTCTGCCATTTGGCCTAGATGGGGCCAAATGGCGGAAAAGCCTCTTCTGGAAAAGCAATCAGAAAAAGCTACACAAAGCGCAATTTGTATAGCTTTTTCCAAAAAACAGCAATAATATAGAACTAGCCTAACTGATAACATTGTTTTTTCAAGCACTCGCTTGGATTAATGCAAGTTATAAAAGATAAATATGACTCAAAGAGAATGCTTCAGTTGTGAGCTATAGGCTTAGAAGGAATGATGACCACATCAAAATACTGGTGAAAAACAGTATTTGATTTGATGCAGCGGTGAGGCCTCAAAGACCAGTTACAAAGGAATTTTAAATGAGATGCTTTAAATTGCAAAAATGTTGGTCTCCAGTTAGGGTTTAACATCCTGAAGGCAAAGAAAGGAAGTTTATTTAGATGGAAGGTAGGTACATTAGAATGCAGCATAAAACTGAAATGACACACCATGACAATAAAGTATACCCAATGGCAATATATATTGTGTAAGTAGTAAATAAAAATTAGGCCTTCATTAAACTGTAGGGAGAATGTTAGTATTTCAGTTTTCAGTAATTGAAGGAAAAGCCTCTGAAAGAAACAGTGATATCTCTTGGAAGACCTGAACCAAGACAATGCTGTCCCAGTAAAGACAATTAAAAATCCCAACCACTATGACCTACATTTTCAAAACTGACTACAGTGAAGTCAGGTTTTTGGTGCTCCTCTGGAGGCCTTAAAAGGATGATTTTAAAGACAGAAAGTGCTCAGCACTTTCTGAGGCTTGGATCTCTTTAAGATGTTTCCAGTTGGACATTTAAAAAATTGACGACTCTGAAATAACTAGTTACTTTTGAAAATATAGACCAACATCTAGGGCATATTCTAGATATTCCATATTTTCACATAAAACTCCCTGGGCTCATCAATGGACATTTCACATTAGACATCAGTGGATGTGGCTAAGATACAGCTATTGAAAGTTAATGAATGTAAAACAATACTACTCAGTCACTAGATCTCAACGGAACAGACTAAGGCTTTTCTTTTGCAAAATCAGTCGGAAGTGTGGAGCCCTTAATATCTTTCCCACCCAACATCATTTTATGTATAATGAATGAGTCTGGGTTGTATACCAAAGAATCATCTGGCTAATCCATCCCCAAATCCTTAGATCAGCTCTATGCACCATGGCATGCCAATGGTGTACAAAAGTTAGGTATGTTTTGGAGTAGGAGCTTGTAGTCCTATACATGTAAATGCTAAAGATAAATCTGCTTTGAGGTCATGAGACTTGTTCCTGTATGACTCAGGAGTGCAGTGGTGCACAAACAGGTATAAGGGGGAAATGATGGACTAAATGCACAGGGAGACCTGAACCTATGTTAATGAGGACTGCTGCACAGCCACCTCTCTACTAGACAGACTAAGGTCTAAAAGGGAAGATCATAAAAAAATTTCTTCTATTTATATGCTGAGAATCACACTTAAGTTCCTCTCTCCTAAAATATACCTGTTCTCTGACACACACACTCTACATCCCTTTTAACTCTGCTCTTCTAAGAGTACAGGTGCAACGTTTATTCTGGGTGGAGGGCTATACCTCCTGTTTAACTTTATTTGCACCTAGATGTAATATCTGTTTACAGTTGAAACCTGGCCCTCCTAAGACTTGTGAGATCAAGGACATGATGTATTGTTAGCAAAAGCTGCCTGTGTCCTGTAGCAGAATTGTTCCCAATGCGTTGAGAGGGTGCTTGATGGAGAAACCAGTGATTATGAATGTTGTTTTTCTTTGCTTTGCTGCCAAAAGGCTGTAACTGTCATTTCTATAGCTTTGCCTACTAACCTACACATTTTATCTCACAAGCAAGCTGGCAGCTAATAGAATATGAACAGCTTTCTTGAAAGCAAATAGCCCTACTATAAATATTGATGTATTTGTTTTATAGAAAGCAATAAAGCCTTGATGTTTGCAAAGACCACTACATGGCAAGACAGACAGAATAGCAGAAATCATAATTTTATGTATTAAAAAAACAGAATAATGTGTTAGCTGTGGTGCTGAGAAAGATCTACTGTACAAATAGTGAAATCTAATAACTAGCGAATGTTTAGATGTATGCCCTAGCTCAAAATACATGTAACCTTTAAAAATCCAAAACACCGGCCCCTAGACAGGAAAGCAAACCCACAGGAAGAAGCCTGAGAGCTCCATAGCATGTCTGTGACAGGGGAAAAAAGCTTTCATTACATGGTTGTCTTGATTTGCTGAAGATAACACCTCACAATTCAGAGCAGCTACACCTATATATCAGCTTAGTGGTCCAGCAAGGGTACCCAGCCTCAGGCTTCCAGCTGTTATCTCTAATAGACAGAGAGTGTGTCCTCTCCCTTTTCACTGGAGTATTGCCAGACTACATAGTTCCCTGCCTTCACTACATATTTCCAAGCACAGATATGTTGCCCTCTAGGGATACATCTACACTGCATCCCTCATGCAGAAAAGCCTATGCAAATGACGTGTGGATAGCATATTGCCACGCTTCATTTGCATAATTTGGGGCCTTTTTTGCACAAAAGGCTCCCTCTTGTGCAAGAGCCATTCTTCCTCATTATTTCAGGAAGAACGGCTCTTGCACAAAAGCCTCTTGCGCAAAAAAGGCCCCTAATTAATTATGCAAATGAAGTGCAGTAATATGCTAATCCATGCTTCATTTGCATAGGCTTTACTGCATGGGGGATGCAGTGTAGACGTAGCCTAGGACACCTGATTGCTTTCTCTGTAGATATGGATGACAGGTGCAAGTTACAAGTTACGATGCAGCACTTCCCCTACAAACCTACTTTATTCTTAAGGTAAAGAACATTACAGAGAAAAAACAATAAAAGGGCCTAAATGCATGCGAATCTTCTTGGCATATGCATAGCATGCCTGAAGTGGCATGTGATGAGGATTCATCACCAGGTGTGGGTCTCTGGTTGATTGGATCTTTGGCTTCCTTGGCCTGGGTTGTGTACTGACTGAGAGTGTGACGTGAACACTGATCCATTCAGGGCTAGTGACAGACTTTTCCAGGCCTGGGGCAATGCTAGAGGAGGTTTGGCTCTGGAGTCTTAGAAGGGGAGGGACCTCAGGCAGAAGGGGCAGGGCTAGAAGCAGCCAGCCCTCAGCACCATCTGGACCACACTACATGGGACTCCAGCAGCAATTTAAAGGGCCCAGGGCTTTGGCCACTGCTGCAGTAGTAATGGTGGCAACTTGGAGCTCTAGGCCCTTTTACATCATTGGCCTCTGGGGCAACTGCTCCTTTTGTCCCCTACCCATTGGTAGCCCTGAATCCATGTCCCCCAGCATGCTAATAAGATTACTAGATTTAACATGAACCCTAATAGTGATTCTGGCAGCAGCAGTCTTTCAAACCGCTTCCCCAAGGGAGATCCTTTTGGTCACCAGTTGACAGGTTCAATTTAGAACAAGCATACTTATAACATATTTAGTTCAGCCTTTGTATATTTCATGGGGTCTTTGATCTGGAGTTTTCAAAAGCAGGTATCTGGAACATAACAGATCTTTCTCTTGGGAGAGCTTTAAAAATTTATCAGATGATAAAATTTACATTCCCCTTACCCCAAGGCACTTCCTAGGAAATCCACTTCACACACGTTGTTCCAAAAAGACCTTTAAAGTTCTAATACCTTCCAGGGATTGCATTAATCTTGTCTTCCTGCTAAAGAAATTCCACATAATCTCAGAATAGTACATAAACATTTGCATTGTTAATACAATGTACCCACCAAAGTATTAACCCTAATTCAATAAGGTTTAATTTAATTCAATAAACTTTACCTTAATTCCATGGGGTTTGTTCAGGATATTGTCAGTATGTCACACATGTAAGAAAATATACTTTTTGAAAATGATTCTAGCTTGCAGCTGGTGATCTGGCAATATACTACCCAAAACCCGGTCTCAGAGGACAGTAGGTATGTGTTTTGTATCCCAAAACAGGGCACACACTGCACCTTTGTGAGAATAAACTAAGAAGCTGACTTTCAATCCTTCTCTGTCTCCAATTCAAAGTTACCCTCAAACTTCTCAAAATTCTGCAGATTTTCTTTGCTTTACCTCTCTGACCTCCCAGCAGTCAATGGCTTTTATATGTCTTGGTGCACATCCTGCTACAGTTTCTGCGAGCTGCCTTCCTGGCGCAGCAAGACAGAACCCCCAGCTCCTTGTGGGGCAATTCCTTACCTCTCTATGGGTGCTGCTCATGCAACTCGACCCCACCGACCCTCCCTTGCACATCATGCACCGCCGCTTCTGGCAGAGACACCAGCTCCAACTGGTGGGACCAGAGCATCCTGGAGTGGTGGGATGACCAACAGTCACTTCAGAATTTCCATATGTGGAAGGACACCTTTCTAGAGCTATGTGAGTAGCTCGCCCCAGTCCTCCAGTGATGGGACACCCATATGAGACCCACTATCCCCCTCCAGAAGCAGGTAGCCATTGCCCTCTGGAAGCTCACCATGCCAGACAGCTACCGATCTGTCAGGAACCCGTTCAGCATGGGGAGATCGACCGTCGGGGCTATGCCCATGCCGGTATGGTGCTCTCATGCTATTGTCCCAGGAGGACAGTGAACTGCTAGAGTGGGGTTCCATAGGGAAGGCAGGGGAGACAGTAATGGTACTCACCTAAGGGACTTTCCTCAGTCTCGGACAATACCCAGGATACATCCTGGGTGTGCGGGGGAGGGGGGGGCCGCTCCAGGGTGAGCATGACCTCCTGGCTGACAGAGGGTTACAGGTTTTGGAATAAGATGCCTGTAATTTCAAAATTATTTTGAAATAATGGGCTTGCTGTATAGACACTCGTAGGCTACATCTACACTGGCATGATTTTGTGCAAAATCAGCCGCTTTTGCGCAAAAACTTGCTGTCTGTCTACACTGGCCGCGAGTTCTTGCGCAAGAACACTGACATTCTAATGTATGAAAGCAGGGCTTCTTGCACAAGAACTACGATGCTCCAGCTCAGGAATAATCCCTCTTGTCAACTGTTCTTGCGCAAGAGGCCAGTGTAGACAGGCAACGTGAATTTCTTGCGCAAGAAAGCCCAATGGTTAAAATGGCCATCGGAGCTTTCTTGCGCAAGAGAGCATCTACACTGGCATGGATGTTCTTGTGCAAAAGCACGTCTCTTGCGCAAAGGCACATGCCAGTGTAGACGCTCTCTTCTGGAAGAGTTTTTGCACAAGAACTCTTCCGCAAAAAAGTTCTTGTGCAAAATCATGCCAGTGTAGATATAGCTGTAAAGTTATTTTGTAATAATGTCTGTTGTTCTGAAATAACACAGCTGTGTAGACCTAGCCTAAGAGGGCTTTTGGCTAAAGAGGCTGTGGGCTATAAGCTAAGAAACTGCTACTTCTGTTGAATTCCCTTGTATTCAGGATTTTGTATATTATTTATACGTAAATAAGATTGTGGGGCCTGATTTAACCTTTTGTGAGCCTGACACCAAACGCATCTGTTGGTCCCCATGTAAGCAAGGAGGCATGGTGTGGAGGATCAGGCGGGAATAGTCCCTGGAGTGAGAGGCCAGCTGGGGACAATGGGCATAGCATAATGTGGATGGCTTGGCTCTGCACAGTCTGGCTAGCCTGGAACTGCAAGTGCACCCCTTTACTAAGGGGCAGGCCTGCATTGCAAGCCATGCCACACTGCCCCCTGCCCTGACCTCTGTCTTTCACTGAAGTCAACAGGACATGTGGGTGTAGGTCGAACGAGGGCCATATTTACTACCTGACCGTACTACTAGAAAACATACACACTAGTAAGATCATTCTAGAGAGATCTTCAAAAATTCATTTAACAAATGTACAAGAGAGATTACTGTTCCACCCAATTCATATCACCAGAGAAACATGAATACCAAAAGGTGATTAGAACAAGAGATGTTTACTCTTAAGCGGAAAGTGACATGTAGCCAAGAGCATTAAGACACATCATTTTTAAAATGTTCTTTTATTTTATCTCAGGTATTCAAAGCTTATTTGAAAATGTTATATATTTCATTTTATGCATCATATTGGGGAATGGGGGAAACATAGGGAAAACAGTGATTAATATGGATTCAGAGCCTGGACTCCTATATATTTCTAATTCTTCCACTAAAAGCATTAACTTCTATATGCCTCAGTTTACCCATCTGTAAAATATATACCATCTGTACCCCAAAAAGGTAGTATAGATTGAGGCATCATTAATCTTACCAAAGTGCTGCAACTATGTTGAAAGATTTGAAGAATAACCCTTTTCTTTCACTAATAAATAGCACCTTTTCTAAAAGCAATATTTAAAGGGACAACATTAACTTGTACATTAACATTAACATTACATCAAAATTTTTAATGCTAATCCCCTCTGAAGTATATTTTGTAAGTGACTATACAGGGGAAGCTATAAAAGCCGTTTCATCCACATGCACAATGTGCTGTCGAATACACAGAGAAAACCAAACAATGAGAATATTTTTCCCACTGCTAATCTTTTAATTGCTGTAATCCTTAATGTTGCTTGTAATTATAGTAGTAAATAAGTCAGCAATTTTCAATTGATGTTCTCTTAATCTTCCTGCCTGCAACCTACTCTCTTTTATGCAAGTTGGGAGTCTGCCACTGACTTCAACAGGAGCTCTGTTACACCAGAGTAAATCAGTAACAAGCCTTATTAATTTTGTTCGTATCACCATAGTAATTAGGATCCACAGAATTCTAAATTCTCATGAGTGAAAATGAGAACACACTTATTTAACCTATTTATGTTTGAGAGCCATATCTTTTTTACAGCAGAGAAATGTAAGTGGGAAATACGAATACCTTTGTAGCACTTTAATAGCTGTGTTCTCCTCCTTTTATCATCAGGAGGGGAAATGTATTCCTGAGAACAGTCAGTCATTCAGGAAACAGAATTTACACTGTGTCTACACTGGAAAGATAAGATGATTTAAGTTACATTGGTCATTCTCTGCTATAATTAAACTGCTTTTGCACGTTCACACAAGACTCCTTGTGATAGCAGAGCACGTCCACAATTAGTGCTCTTCCATTGACAGAGAAAGCAGTGCACCATGGATAGCTCACTGTGTAACTCACCACCATTCTGCAGAATTTCTTTTAAAACATTTCTCATATGTTCCTCCTTTTACAATGAGAAATTCTGCAGAATGAAAATCAAAAGCAACTACTCATACAGTAAAGGATGAAACTCAGAAGAAACCTGAATCGCTCATATACCTCTCATTAACAATTCATCACAATATTGTGAACAGAACAAACAACAGGAGTGTCTGGACTTATCTCAAATATTTACCTAGTTTTCCCTTTTACTATTCTCTTTTCCCCGTCTGTTTTGTTTGGTGCTCTCTCTAAACTCTGTAAAAAGACTCTGTTGGAAGATGTATGAAAACCAAGCTGAGGATACAAACTATTCTGATAACATTCAACACAGACACAGTGATACGTCAGCTTCTTTTCTATTGATTGTTTTCCCTGATCAAGTTGCCACAAACACTTTTTTTAATCTTTATTTTGTTATTTCTTCAAGCAGATGGATAAGATTTCATACACAATGAAGGGAGGAAAATCCCTTTGAATTCTAACCAGTTCAGTAAAGAGAACCTGTCTTGAAAGAATTGCAGACAGCCTTCACAAAATAAGAGACAGATTTTGATTCTGTATTCCTTTTCTGCTTTAAATAGTAAACCCTCATTAACAGTGTCATTTCCATTGTTCCATATCCCACTCCTTAACTTGGATCTAACTATGCTTCCTAAATCTGGTAATCTTGGCAGTCTTGAGTTTCTCTTCCCATATCTCTTTGTTTGCTCCTATATTTTCCTTTGCTCATAACACTTGTAAAATATTGGATGACTACTACATCAGTTTATCAGTGCAACTTGCTCCAACCCCATCTCCTGACACACACTCGGTCCTATT